AGGGTGATAAGGCACTATAGGAAAGATGGTGTGAAATGCAGTGGGCTGTACACTTTCTCTTCCCCTTACGAAGTGCAATGGGAAGATCAAGGTCAGTGGGATCARYTGCAACAATGGTGTTAGGGATAGAAACATTATCATCAGAAAACATAACAGGCTCAGGCTCAAGAGGAATACCTAGAATTGTATCTGCCGAATCTGGAGTTTCAGAAGGACTGACAGAGAGTGGTGTGGGTTGAGGATGTGTGGAGTCAACCATCATCTATCGGTGTTGATATTGCTGTGAGGCTGCCCGTAGTGGCTCAGGTAATGAAACTGGAGGTGTAGGTGCTAGCTGAACTGATGTAGATGCTGGCCGAACTGATGGTGCAGATGATGGCTGAACTGATGTAGATGTTGGTTGAACTGATGGAGGCACCACAGAAACAGGAAGAGGAACAGATTGTGAGTTCTCCCCAAAACTCTCTCCTGAGGAGAACCACTCGAGAAGAAGAATGTGGATTCATAAAAGGTAACATCCATAGTGACAAATCTGCTCGACACTGGGTTTAATAGCAATACCCCTTTTGGTTCTGAGCATACCCAAGAAAAACACATTTCTTGGCCTTAGGATCCAATTTCTTACAATGAGGGCCAAGATTGTGAATAAAAGAAACACAACAAAAAACCCTTAGAGGTATGTGAAATATCTCTCCATTTGGAACAAGAAGGCTAAATGGCACCTTAAACCCCAAAGTCCGTGAAGGAACACGGTTAATCAAATGCATGACCGTAAGAACTGAATCTCCCAGAACTGCATAGGAACTGAAGCACACACCATAAGACTCCTTGCCACCTCCACAATGTGTCTGTTTTTCCTCTCAGCAACTCCATTCTGTTGCGGTGTATATGCACAACTGCTTTGATGAAGTACACCATGTTCTAAGAGATACGTGGTCATGTCCTTCTCAAAGTACTCTTTGGAATTATCTGATCTAAAAGCCTTAGTTCTCACTCCAAATTGTGTGAGAACCATCTGGTGGAATTGTCGTACTAAGTTAGGAACCTCATYACGTGATCTCATCAAATATATCCAAGAATATTGTGTATAATCATCCACAAACAAGAGAAAATAACGGAATCCTCCCATGGAAGGGATTTGATATGGCCCCCATACATCAGTGTGAACAATAATAAAAGCAGTACTTCTTTTATTACTTGGTTTAAAAGACTATTTACAATGCTTTCCTAACTGACAAATCTCACACTCCAAAATAGATAATTGAACAAACTCAAACAACTTTGGGAAAAGACATTTCAAAGAACTAAAAGAAAGATGTCCCAAGCGATTGTGCCAAAGCATAATCTGGTTCACTGACTCTAACCCACTACTACTGCTGCTGCTAACATGATGGCCCTGATGTCTTAGAATCTCATCCAGAAAGTAGACTCCTTTCACCTCACGACCACTCCCAATTATCTTCTTTGACTCCAGATCCTGCAAAACACAATTACTAGGAAGAAAGGTCACAGAACAATTCAAATTTTTTGTCAAAGAACTAACAGACAATAGGTTGGTATGAAGACTAGGGACATGTAAAATAGAAGACAGAGTTATGTCATTGGCCACTCTAACTGTCCCCTTCCCAACAATGGGCATATGTGAACCATCTACCGTAGAGACTTTGTCTCTACTAGAGCACAACTGATAGGAACTGAAAATGGTAGGGGCATTAGTCATATGCTTAGATGCTCCTGAGTCAGTAATCTAGGGAGGTCCCTCCTTACCTGAAGTGGATGCAAGATTTGCAGTTGCATATGAACTACCTGTATGTGCAAAGGAAGTGGTGTAGTTGGTTCCTGCATTCTGCTGTCCATCTAGAAGGCTAGAGCTGGGTGAATCTTTCTTA